CTTTTTCTTGCCACTTCACCTCTGGAAGCCACATGGTATGTATCCCTTATAGTGCTAGTAAACTCTTTCAGTTTTTCTTTCTCATTAGATTATCAGACTGCATTTTGGACAGCCAAGATGTGTGACTAAAATGAGGTTCATTTGTCTGTTCTGGCATAAGGCAAATTATTGTTAATGATCAATAGTAGGACTTGAGTGTTTTAGGGAGGAAAAAAAAAAGTGTCTAACTTCAGCCTCCAAAATACACCTGCATTTTAGAACAGACGTGCAACATTAAATGTCCTGTATTTTTGTTAAATAAGTATTTCCTTGGACACAGGGGAAATACCTGTTACTCATCTGTCAAATGACTGTCTCTATTTGGGGAACTTTGGATGTTGATGCTTAAAGCTTAATTTACACCTAATGCCATTCAGAGTTTCATAGAGTGTGAGCGAGTGCTGTCTGTAACTTGGAATTGGGTACTGCCACCTGCTGATTAAAAATCAAAGCATACCATATACTTCCTGAATACACTTTTTAATAATACACTTTAAAATCCTTAATATTAAAAATTTTATTAGTTATTGAATATAAATTCCTCTTGTATAAAAAGAGCTAGAAAAATATTTTGAGAATACTACTTAGTTTGCTATTTGCTGGAAATTCTAGAGGTGTCTACCTGTTTGTAAAATGCAATGAGAAGCTGTTATTTCACAACCGAACAAGAGTAGGCCCTTGTTTCCTTACTTACCTTGTTAACCAGATGATCATTTACGATGCTCTTAAGGACTTAGGTCCCTATTTTTCAAATAAACAGACTAGCTTCCAGCAAAGTGAATAACACTTTCTTAAACTGTTCATGCACGAGCACTGTTGACAGTGCTGTTGGAAAAATTAATGATGAGGTGGTTTGTTTTTTTTTTCCCCCCCCAAAGGCTTTGGGAGTTTCCAGTCAAAATGACCGATCAACAATAAAGAAAAAAATTAAGGATATTAGAAAAACACAAGAAAAACTGGAAAAGCAGAAGGAAAAGGTTCAAAAGAAGGAGAGAGAAGTTCGCAAGACTGGCAGAGTTGTAGCCACTCTTGAATCAAGCTGCTAAAATGACCCTGTTTTATTTTAGCACAGACTTGCTTCATCTTGAGGAAGTTCAGCAAATTTGTATATAGTTGTACAATTGAGGGAGGAGGGAAAGTGCAACAGTTTAACATGGTAGGTGTTTTTTTACTTTTTAATTATGGTCCCTCCCCATTACAACCCAGTAAAATGAGATGTTTTCAGTATTTTATTCCTAGTTGACTCTGCCTGTACTAATAGACAATAATTTAACTTTCTGCCTTAAGTAATATTTGTGCTTCTAAGACCTCATATGCCCTTTTCATTGAAATTGATGTTTGTGAAAAGTAGAATACTGTATTAAAAATCATTCCAATATTAGTCAACTAGCATTTGATAGAGTTGAATCTGATAGAGGGACAATAGAAAAATCCTGCCAACAAATTCAGTCTGTGACAGTCTGTTTATCTGTTGCCACTAAAGATGTATAGTAAAAATTAAGTTTAAGAAAACGGTAATGTCAAATTAATTTAAAAAGAAAGCATGTATTTCAAATTTATGGATTATTTTGTTTAAATTCTTGTATTTCTGGGATTTTCTTTCAAAGTTCACTGTAGTAGCACATTGTTTTTGAGTTCTATGTGTTGCAACTTACTGAGAAAATAACAAGAAGTATTAAGTAGTTTTCACAAACTACATATACTAAGCATAATACTAAGTTTTCTGTACACTACCCGTATGGTGTTGGGACAAGGTTTAAACCTATAAATAAGATCTTTTTTAACCTATTTTTCCTAAATAATACATAGTTTTATAGATTTATGCTATGAATAAGATCAATTTGCAATACATGTATTTCTCTTTTCTACCTGCTACAAGATTTTTGCGGACCAAATTTATATATTTGCTAATTTTAAACTATACTGTTTTTCAAACTTAAAATACTGAGGGAAGAATTGTAGGAAAAATTATCACTGAAGCACTGGGTTTCTGCATTGTATTTAAATGTTCAATTGTAGACTACAGATTATTTCTCTTTAAAGGAGGATTTGATTCTCAGAATAGTTTAGAACGTGGATTGGTGTTTTGTATGTTTACATACTATTTTCTAGAGATACTACAACAGCACTTCCTTTGATTATTCCAGAAACATAGACTAGTTTAAATATCAATTCCACCATAGAATGGACTAGAACAAAACTTACATAATTTGTTTATGTGGACCAAGTTCTCCTTTAAATCTATGGACTATTTTTCATTTTAATTAAATGAATGAACTTCACTGCTGGTGTTTCACAGTTGTTATTTTTTTGTGTAAATGTCTTATGAATTTCAACAGAAGGACTGTGTGGAAATGCTTCTGCACACTATGCATTTCCAAAGTAAAATTTGAAAATCTTGGTAATAATTACTTTGAAAAAGAAGTTCAATTTTCAGGTTTGTGCATTAAGAAACAACTCTTTGGTCAAGATTTAACTTATTTACTTTGTTTCCAGTAGTTTACAGTTCGTACTCCAAACTTACAGACTTTAAGCCAGAGAGGAATGCTGCCCTACTGATAAAAGAGAAGGGATTTAGAAGTACGGAATGATCAAATGCTTAGGATCACACACATAAAACCACCCTTTGATTAATTCAGTCAAGGAAGTTTTTTTTCTCTGTTGTGCTTTCAGCTAGAAGAGAGAATATTGATACAACCATGTATTACCTTTTTCCTTTAAGCCTACTGAACTGAATATTGCACCCTGTGAAGAGTTTGTTTCTCAGGAAGGAGACTAGTGGAAATAATGATTTCAAAGGTTTGCCTGTGCGCAGAGCTGTTGTAGTTAAACAGAGGCCCCAGCAGGGATGATAAACTCACTTGGCACCTGAGCATAAGAACATTGATTATCACAGACCACAGCATTTAACATCTGTCAGATGCTAAACAAGAAGGCTGGCTCCATGGAACTAGCTTAGTACCAAGCCACAAAATCACCCAACTGAAAGTTTGATTTTTAAAATAGTTTTAATGAAGAAATGTAGTGATTCTTTCAAAAAAATCAAGTTAACACAAACCAAGTTTAATTTTACAGTGCAAGACTGAGCTCATTTGCATACAAAACTATTAATCTCAGCATTTTGATAGCTGAGATAGTATACTAATTTTTTACAGTGATTCACTTCAACTTAACCAGTGTACTAGCAATGACTTCAGTACAGTAATGAAAATATTAAACACAAAAATTATCTTCTGAACTTCTATTTAAATCAAAAGTAAGATTAAACTTGTAAGCATGGTTAAACATTGTAAACCAAAATACTACTACATTTGTGTTTTCACCACAATCATTCAGGGTGGCAGGTGAGGAGATGGATACAAATATAATTACACAGCAAGTTGTTCTAATAATCAGAATTCAACTGGTAGCTAGCTGAGAGCATGAAAGAGGTTTTATTTCAGTAATACCATATGAAATACTATAATAGACTGTAGAAAACCAACTGTGTTAGCTTTTCTTGTAGTTCTCAGATATTACTAAAATCAGTTCAATTAAGTTAGTTAAAAGAAGATTAAAAACTCAGCGTAAAAGCTACAATGTTCAGCTTCAGAGATGAGTTTTTAAAATCCCTTGCTGTAACTTTCAGCTTTAGTTTAGCAAAAGCCATAGCTGCAAGCATTCCCTCTAACTTTTGTACAGGCCCCTTTTCACAGTATGTGGAATTTCTCATATACATCCTCTTGCGGGGCTGAAGAAGAGAACAGCTATAGATTCTCCTCACTTGTAGCCATGCAGATTGAAGGGTATGCCAGTCACCACCTCACATCCTTGTAAAGAAGACAAATAGGGACCTCTCAAAGTGCTCACAAGCTTGAGTGGAGCAGGTAACTGTACTGTTGTGGTGGCAATTAAGCTAGAATAATCCTCCCTCAGAGCATCGGTTTAACTGCATATATAGCCCATTCTGTAAATCACTCCTGTTAAAGTGACCTATGTTAGCTTGACCAGGGTATAGAACCATTTTATTGTTTTGCACAACTAGGCTAGGGAGGTAGGTGATAATCTTTAATCTGGCTCAGCTACAACTAGAATAGCATGACTTCAATTTCTAACATACCAGCTATTCCCTTCACTTGTGGTTTCTCACCTTCTGCTCTATGCAGAGCTAGTAAACTAGCAAAATTTAGGCTTATTCTTTCTAAGCGGGATTATGCATGTCTGCTGCAGAACAAAAATCACAGAATTACATGCAATGAATTAACTGAGAAAAGGATTAGTTCTCAGTGTCTTTAAGTGCATCACTCCTAAAATGTTCAGGAATGACAGGGATGGAGGTGCAACATAGATGTGTATGATTTGAACAAAGCTGGCATAATAGGCATTAAAAGAAGTTGAATCCTTTATTAAAAGAAGGACTTTGTATCTGAAATGTAATACTCATTCCCCTCTCTTATCTTCCCCAGTATGTTTTGACAGTTTGCCTTTGACTGATAAACACATTCTGCTTACCTTATTTATGTTATAGTGTGACTTCCAGTTACTACATAAACAATGCCAGAAGCACATCACAAATACAAAGGTATTTTCAAAAACGGTTAATTCCGCTTTTTCTAAAATACTCCTGAGAAGGTAGTTTCTATTGTCAAAATAATAGAGATGCCCTATTAAAGGCAAATTTTAAAAATCTGTTTATTAAAATAGTTTCCATTTATAGCTGTAACCTGACACACCCGAATCCGAGATCTTACTAGGGCTAGAACATTGATACTGCGTTTTGGTATTACCTACAGAAATATAAGCAAATGCAAGACAGCATTATCTTTACTGTACACAGGCCAAAACTATTTGCTAAGTCACAATGATCACGGCAAGAGAAGTTTTTCACATGTATTAAATATTCACATTACAACCAAAGAAATATGACTGATACCACATACCTGAGATATATTATACCAGTGGTAGCAGCTAGAACTGATTTTTTTTTTTTTTCATCCCTACAGACCTAAGTGTGATTTCTACAGCTACAAAGAACCTTGATGTAGGCAAGGTGTGTAGGCAACATATCTAACTTTGCAAAATTAAGCTTCAGCATGCTTAAGACAAAAGAATAGAAAGTGCCATACAGGTGCAAAGGTATAGCAGTGACCTCCTCAATATTTCTTACATGAGTTTTCCATTGATCTGTAATTTGTATAATGGAAAATGCTCTGGTGAGCTTTTTCAACAGCTCTTCTAGTAAAATAATTTTGTAATTATATGAATTAATACATTTCTCACCAGATATGATATAGATTGCATTGGTCCCTGTAAAACCTGAAATTACAGCTTCTTTGACTTAGCTACTGAAAGTAGTCATAAATAGAAAGTGGAACAAATTAATTGGGGCCTCCTCACTTAAAATTTAGATGTAGAGGTTTGGGGTTTTTCTTGGTTGTTTTTTTCTTAATTCCAGAAAAGAGTAATTACATTAAACCTGCTGTTACTCCACTTAAAATTACTTTCACATACCAAATGTAGCTCAGCATCTTGGTGTAAATCAGGTCTTTTAAATTCCCTTTACAGACATACCTACTTCGTATGAACTGTTGAGGAAAAAGCTATATACTGCGAAAAGTGGTCATGTCCTTTGGCTCACTGCTTGGCACGCACCAATCATCTGCTTCATGGTTTGCTTTATAATGTTTCCAGGCTGCTTTGTTATATACAGGGAGTCTTTCAATTGAATCTGTTGATAAGGCCTGTAAGTAGAGAAGACTGTAGCTGACGATTCTTCTTAATCGAAGTTATAGTAACAGAACAAGGAGTTCTATTAGCAGTTAGGGTTGCTGACAGATTTAAAATGGTAAAGTGTTAACATCATACCTTTATGTAAATAACTGCATCTGTACCATAGCCTTCTAAGGAATACAGTTTCAGGTCTCCTTGGAAGTACTGTGCATACAGACGTGATATGGGTAAGCCATAACCAAATCCAGCCTGATCCAGGAGGAAAAAGTGTATTTTCATTAATTGTATCAACCAGTAGTGTTTTCTGTTTTAACTTAATAAGTAAATAGATGAACTAAGCATGATGTTTGACAGTAAGGGAAAGAGTTCAAATGTTAGCTATTATGCCCCCCAGAACTATTATACACCCCAGACACAGAAGAATGCATGGATGATTGTGATTATGAGAAAACTGTTTTATTCCTTTCTTTGTCAGACAGGGCTGCTAGATGACACTCCTTGTATTATGGTAGCTTTTTGAAGAAGACATGACACCATTAGAGAAAACTGTACTGAGTCTGTCCTATGACTCATGGAGCTGCTAATCTTAAGAAAGCTGAGTACTTAAGTCAGATACATTTCATCATCAGTACATATAAAAAAGGTCCAAGAAACAATGTCTGTGAATTTGTAGCTTATACTAAAATTCTATCAAGCCCTGTCTGTAGTAGCAGGACATAGCCCTGAAGTGTTAAGTTGGTTTTTTTTATGTGCTAAATTTTAGAGGTGATCTCTCAACGAATATACACAACACTTCTCTGTAAAGATCTAGTGTTTAGTGAGTTGCAGAGTCATCTAGATTCAGAACACTATATACATTTAAAAAACACATTTTGAATAATCCAATGTGAGAGAATAAATTCAGGAAAGCTGTTCAGAGCTTCTTACTGAAAGCTAAGGCTTTATTTCTTGTGCATCTATTAAGTTCACACAAGACCAAAGTAGATTCTTCATATGCCCTGTCGCATCTGCATACCTTCATCCTTGCTGGGGGATGGTACAACTGACTACACAGTACAAATGAAACTATGGGCTTGATCCAAAATCATTGCTGTAATTGTTCTTCCTTTCATTCAGTGGCCACAACAGGAATTCAGAGTCCTGTCCTTACTGCAGTACATGCAGCATAGCTAAGTGTTCTGCTTGAGATAGCCGATCTTTATATTTGGTAGAGAAAAAGAGAATCTTGAACAAGTTTAAATAATTTTTATTTCAGCGTTTTATGCAATTTTCCAGTTACTTTCAGAAAAATACTTGAATTAAGCTGTAACATTCAAACAGTGATACTCGTTGTATCTATAAAATCAGTACTTCATAGCTTTGGCTAAATGGTTTCTTTTGTGACAATTAAACACATCCAAGATGACAACGTATAAAAGATTTGCATACCAAAGGTGTAGCTTGTGATGTCTCAACACGTGGACGTGGTGCTGTTGAATACATGTAGTTGAATAGTCTGTCAATTTTCCTCATAGGAACACCTCCACCACGATCACTCATCTGGAACAAGAAGGAACATGTAGCATTATGTCCCTGAATACATTTTTATAAAAGACAGTTTCTCTCAAACAATGATCCAGAGAAAGTTCAGGTAAAACATAATATAAAGTTGTCCCTATTAAAGTATGGGGTTTCTTAAATTGCCATCTCTCAGCTACAACAATGACCAGAGAGAGATGAATCCTTCCCTTTCATCCCTTATCCAAACCATTTAAATAAAATACTACCATAAGAAGCATTCATAATCCCTTGGAAGCAAGAAAATTCTACTTAAATTATGCATTGCTTTTATCTTGTTCATAACTCCATTTTGTCTGAAGTCAGTACTTAGACCTTTTAGCAAATGCCAGGTTCTGTGTATTTTTATCTTTATTCCTCAGGAATACTGCCAGTTAAATACAATCTATTAAAATGTCTTGCTGAAGGAGTAAGTCAGAAGAGTTGTTTTACTACAGTTTAGTTAGATCTACAAAAAAGACAATGCTTGCAGTTGGTCTTTGAAATCCAACATGGATGTTGTACAGAAAAAGAAGGAATTACTCTGCAAACTGTACTTCAGAGAGGTTTGATTTGCATTGAATATACAATGTTTGTTTCCCTTTTTTCAGTTGTTTCACACCTGTATAGCTCTGTCATTGTCACATACAAAATGTGAGTGACTGATACTACAATTGTATAAAGATGCTACTTCATTTTTAGTCGTGGTTGCTTATAAGCTAGGCAAGACATGAGCAGGACAAAAGCAAGTAATTCTACTGCAGAGCCTTCAGTGTGACTGTGCAACCTCTTCATGACTTTCCTACTGATGCAGTATGTGAAGTTCCATAATGGTCTTGTTACTTACTTACAACATCACATACAATCTGTTGTTAAAACCAGATCACCAGCTAAAGTTAGTAATATGCTGCCTGTGATGGGAAAAAAAACCTAATCAAAATAACCAAAAAAGTGGGTACCTTCACAGTTAAATCCTCATTTCCCAGCGTGATGTGTACATGAATTGGAGGATAAATGCATCGATCAGCATTATGTTCCATGGTGGCTCTCATTGCATTCTGCAATTTTCAAGTACAACTTTAATGCTGTTCTTACCACTTTGTATGTTATCTTAAAACATCAACTTAGGAAAGTTACTTTTATCATATATTTCAGAATCAAGACAAATGTATATGGTTTTAGAGTAGGGGTTTTTTAGTATTTCTGGTTTATTCAGTATCAGTATTTATATAGTTTATTAGAATACACAGACTTCAAATATTTAATTTTTTTTAGAACAAACATATTAATATTTTAATGTATAGTTTTATTTGTAGATTTCTTTAGAATGCACAGTACATGCAATATGACACAAAGATAAAAAAAAGTCTAGGACTGAACTGCTTGAGAAAAGCTCTATAGGACCTGCTACACATTATACCAGATTTGAAGGTATCCCAAAAATTTTATCTCTTACTCTCACTTGCTTTATTAATTAATGCCTTTATACATTTTAAGGTTTTTTGACAAAGCTGTCTACTCAGAAGGTGTCAGATGTATTCAGTGGCTAGGCAAAGGAGATACATCTTCCAAAGCCGTTAATTTTCTGTGCGGTTACTGTTTGTCTAAGTAGTACAATTTAGGTATCTTCCTGCAGTCAAACAGCAAGAGGTTTGCACTTGCAAAAACACTGCTATCTAGAATTAAGTTCAAAAAGTCAAACAAATAAAATCTCACTAAACAAAGAGGTATAAAAAAAATTGTGTAATGGTTAAGTGCACAGACCTTGAAAAGTTCAAAAACCATGTGATAGAGATGTGATGGCACATACACCACTTGCATGGGCTGTCCTGGTGATTTAGCTGGAGAAAAGAGAGTCTAAATAATTAAATAGCAAACTAGGTATCTTTTATTCATTCCCGCAGTAATTCAAAATGTGTGTTTGTATTGTTGAGAGAATTTACAAGAGAAGGAAAATTTGAACAGAAATCTGACAAAAAGTTGCATGTTAATCAAAAGTCATACTCAAGATTTTCAACTGTGCCTGCTGCTTTAGAATTTAATCTTAAAACCCACTGTGGCATCACTGATTAGAGCATATAATAATTGCTTTCTAATACCTATGAGGAAGTTATGAATATAGAGCCAGGCTATTCAGGTGGTGGGAGAACAAGAAACAGTGAGCGTAAGATGAAATAACAGAGCTTCAGGCTGCATATAGAGCAAAACTTTTTCACCATGACAGTTAAGGATTGAAACAGGTTGCCCAGAGATGTTACATAGTCGTCATCCATGGAGGATATGTAAGACCAAACTGAATAAAGCCCTGAGCAACCTGGTCTGACCTTGTAGCTGTCCCTGCAGGTCAGGCTAGAAACCTCCTGAGGTCCCTCCCAACCTGAATTATCTTATGATCCTATAATGCACCAAATAGTAACTACAGCACAGCCTATTCTTGGATTCATTTAGATATTAGCTGATTTCTAGCAAGAAACCGTAACAAAAATTATACAGACAATTCTGTCTATAAAACTGGTATCATTTTCAAAGTTTTTTTAAAGAATAAATTCTAGAAAATACATCATGGCAACACGTTCGTTATATGAAAGATTAAGGAAAGGTTGCTCAGAAAATTCTGCTGGCTCTTAACGTTCTTTCAGTTCAACAAATTAATAATTTCTCAACCAGACTGTGTTAGTGACCAGTGCTTTATGAACATAAATGTTGAAGACTAGTGATGTCAAAAGATCTAGAACAAATTATGTACCCAGCAAAAATAAAAGGGGGGGGGGGGGGGGGACTTCAAAACTCA